TTCTGATACCCATATCCAAATCAAAACAAAAGTATTTTTTACTTTTGTTTTGATTCCGTGACGGTCCCTGCCCCTGAGTAACAAAATTCAAACGAATCGAGTAAATAAAAAAAAATTTGTTTGACATATTGTATCCGCCATTTTGAATTTTGAAAATATTCTGAGGTTTCAGGCGTTAATGGGTTAATTGATATAAACAATAATAAAATCAAATGTAAAACAAAAATTGAAAAAATTTCAAGAATTCTTTTTTTCGGCGACAAAATTTTTTATTGTCAAAATCCTTTGTCAGGACGAGATTCGATACTATATACATGACAACCATTTTTTTTTTTGGCTTGAAGGAAGCGAAATTGCGCTTAAAGGAGTGCCACGACGGCAATTTTGAATATTTCGACTTAAAATGTTTTTTACAAATACTTGAATATATAATATAGGACGGTTTAATTTAATTTAATGTCGAAGTCGTATTTTGTTAGAAAAAAAATCCGCAAAAATCAACCTATTTTTTCCTTTGTCACAGTAGACTTCCCCCTTAATAAAAAATTTTCACTGGGGAGAGATGTCCCGGGGAGACTTGTCCTGAATGTGCCACCGTTTAAATAAATAATTTTTACTGGAGAGAGATGTCCCGGGGAGACTTGTCCTGAATTTGTCACCGTTTAAATAAATAATTTTTACTGGGGAGAGAAGTCCCGTGGAGACTTGTCCTGAATTTGTCGCTGTTTTAATAAACAATTTTTAACTGGGGAGAGATGTCCCGGGGAGACTTGTCCTGAATTTGTCACTGTTTTAATAAACAATTTTTCACAGGGGAGTGATGTCCCGGGGAGACTTGTCCTGAATTTGTCACCGTTTAAATAAATAATTTTTACTGGGGAGAGAAGTCCCGGGGAGACTTGTCCTAAATGTGCCACCGTTTTAATTAATAATTTTTACTGGGGAGAGATGTCCCGGGGAGGCTTGTCCACCCATGGCATTATTTACTTTTAATATTTACATTTGGGGAGTGATGTCCCTGGGAAGACTTGTCCTCTGGGAGGAGCTGTCCATGGGAAGACTTGTCCCATGGGGAGTTATGTCTCCGTGGAGACTTGTCTTGGGAGGACTTGTCCGGGGGAGACTTTCTGGGTGTGACTTGTCCCAACCCCAAAAATACGAAAAAACTAATTTTTTGTTATTATACAAATTAAAATGACGAAGACGATAATTTTTTATTATTTAGAAAAGTTGACAGTTTCTTTGACAACTTTCAACAGTTAAAATTCAAATTTGATATCGTATTCGTAATCAGCGGCCTCAAAAACCTTATTACTGTCTTTTTTACAAAAAACGATCACTTTTTAGAGAAGTTGACAGCTGTCAACTGTCAAATTGTCAATTTAACATCATATTCGTAATCAGCGGCCTCGAAAACCCTTACAAACATGTGTCACTTATTTATACTTATTTTAGCTCTTTAGAAAACTTAGATTATTTTTTCTATGTTTGGGGAGTTTGTTATTAATTTATATAAACAATTATTAAAAAAAAACTTTCCATTACTTGTATGTTTTTTATTTTGATACTGTGATCCACGGTGAAGAAAATAAGCCTAACTTGATTAAAAAATATTAATATTTAAAAAAGTTACAAGGGTTTTTCTAAGTTAAATTTTAACTGCTGTTTTCTCGAAAACTTGTTTTCGCACGTAAGGTCCCTTTTCACTGTCCAGGTTACATATTGGAATTAAGCTTACAAACTAATTTCAATTAAACAAAATCACTTAAAATTATTTTTCTATTTGAATTAAGTATGTTTTCTCAGTGTTAAATGATTTATAAGTAATAACTTTATGGCAGTTCTTCAATAGAATTAAGTTATTTAAAATAAATTATTGTCAGAAATAGAAAAAATTGAAGGTTTTTTTTAGAATTCCTGGTAATTTTATATGAGAAAGAAAAAGACACAAAACTTCAGAATTTTGTTATGAATTCTATACATTTAATTTTTTCCAGTACTTTTGATAAAAATCCCTTACTTTTCCCTGAACTCCCTGATTTTCCTGGCTTGTGGCAACCCTGATGATATATCAATAACTTTTGATTAATAAATAATTTTTTAATGCTTGCAAATGATATTTCATGTGCTAGTCTGAGATCTTCTTTGTATGATATCTATCACTGCAAAAACTTGTATCTCACTCGTGTCTTAAAATGATTTGCTTTAAGTGTTTAAACCATTGAGATACAAAATCTGATTTATATTGAGACATTTAATTTTATCTCATGTCTCATTTTAAGACATTAAAGGTAACTCAATGCGTATAAGACACGTAAAACGTCTTCTTAGTGTGAGACGGATACTCAAAACACATTTCGTATCTCAAAATGCATTGCTAAATGTGTAAGACACTTTGAAACGTCTTAAAATGAGACACATATCTGTTTCAAATATGTGGACTAAGACATCTTATGTGTTTCAAATATGGGACAAAACGTCTCAAAATGAGACACTTGTTTTTGCAGTGTAATAAATATATGGGCAATTCCACGCAAGATTTACCTATGACCTTGAGAATTCGGTTAAACATATTTTTTTCTCAATCTATATGGAAAAAAAAGAAATACGTGTTTTTTTATTTTTGTTTAATCGCCCAAATTTTCGAGTTATGAATTTTCGAAATTTTGGATTTGTAACTGTAGACATATTTTCAGTAGCTTATAAGTCTGAAAATATTGAGTTTAAAGAAAACTTGTCAAGCAATGAAAGTTTTAGTTTTCTTTCAACTTTTAAGAAATGTAAAAAAAAATTTTTTTTTTATAATCAATGGAATTTTTTTACAATTTACTTCTCAAAAAATGTCTACAGACTAAAATTTTTAATCGATTCGAGTGTTTTTTGTTTTAAATAAAAGGAGAACAATTTCTGAAGATATCTCTCCATGCAAACCTAAGAATCTTCAATTGTTTATAATTTTTTTTAAAAACAAAAAGTTAACAAATTAATTGTGTAGTTTCCTTTAAAAATGAAAGATTATTTTCTTATTTTGCTACTACACATGTCCTAAATCAGATTCAATTAATATAATATACGACCACCAAATAAATAGTAAAACATAAAATAATTTATCTAAACTGTTATAAACAATATTAGTTAACAAATAGTTAACTTTGGTTCCTCTCCATAAAAAAACTTTGTTCTTCCATATTCATATTGTACTTTAGGTTCATTTAATGAATACATCTCCCTTTCGTTAAGAAACAATTTTTAATTGTTATAAACAATAATAGTTAACAAATAATGAACTTTGGTTCCTCTGCACCAAAAAGAATTTTTTTCCTGGTTTTCATTGAAGTTTATTACAAAGAATATATGTTAAAAAATAGTGAACGTATGAAATAGTTTGTTCAATAACTATAAACAATTTAATTTATATAAATTTGTATTAAATGTTTTTTTTCTTTCCTTGTGTTTTTGAAAATTAAAATAAAAAAATTAATTAAAATAAAATAAATGCAATTAATATATATTTTACATTAAAATGTTTATTGTTTTATTTTGACACAAACATTCTTTGTAATAAACTTCAATGAAAACTATAAAAAAAATTCTTTTTGGTGCAGAGGAACCAAAGTTCATTATTTGTTAACTATTATTGTTTATAACAATTAAAAATTGTTTTTTAACGAAAGGGAGATGTATTCATTAAATGAACCTAAAGTACAATATGAATATGAAAGAACAAAGTTTTTTTATGGAGAGGAACCAAAGTTAACTATTTGTTAACTAATATTGTTTATAACAGTTTAGATAAATTAGATAATTATTACTACACAATTAATTTGTTAACTTTTTGTTTTTAAAAAAAATTATAAACAATTGAAGATTCTTAGGTTTGCATGGAGAGATATCTTCAGAAATTGTTCTCCTTTTATTTAAAACAAAAAACACTCGAATCGATTAAAAATTTTAGTCTGTAGACATTTTTTGAGAAGTAAATTGTAAAAAAAATTCCATTGTGAGGCGTTTCGTAGAACGCGAGCACCTTGCACGTGATTTTTGAAAATTTTGTACAACTCATTAAACGCGTCGGCCCACTCCAAAACTTTTTGGAAAATCTTCTGTATATTATAAGGTATAAATAAATTAAAAAAAAAAAAAAAAGTGTCCAAAGTTAAAGAAAATTAATTTGTTTATAAAAAAAAATTTTTTTTTTAATAAAAAATTTAAAAAAATAATTTTTTTTACATTTCTTAAAAGTTGAAAGAAAACTAAAACTTTCATTCCTTGACAAGTTTTTTCTAAACTCAATATTTTCAGACTTATAAGCTACTGAAAATATGTCTACAGTTACAAATCCAAAATTTCGAAAATTCATAACTCGACAATTTGGGCGAATAAACAAAAATAAAAAAACACGTATTTCTTTTTTTTCTATACAGATTGAGAAAAAAATATGTTTAACCGAATTCTCAAGGTCATAGGTAAATCTTGCGTGGAATTGCCCATATATCTTTTATATAAATCTAAAAATTTAATTAGGAAAAACTTCTGTGTAATTTCTTTCTTTAAATAATATAAACGAATTTATCACTCGGTTGACAAATGAATTAAATATTGAAGTCAACGATCACTCCGAGTCACTTTTCTTTCTTTAATTTTACCACTTATCTTCTTATACGAGTTAGATAAAGTTTTTATTTTATTAAATTCAGAAGAAACCAATATTAATGTCTGTATTAGATATATGAGAAATTTAAAATAAATCTTTGTATTTTATGTCTTTGTAATAACTATAGTTTTTGTGTAAAAAGATGTTTGAAACAGTTATGCACCGGATATTCAAACTTATAATTTTTAAGGAATATTGACGTGTTCCATTAATTACAAATAATTAAAATTTTATAAGAATGAAGAATTTTTTAAAATTATATCATAACTTTCAAAAATATTTTTTTCGCTAATATCTATTATATTGTATTTATTATTAAAAAAAAACTTTTTTCACTGGTACTTACATATTCTCTGTTATCGAAATCTATGCGAAAAGTAACTTTCACACTTCTACTACCTGGGATGTTGGTTGAAGTTTCGAGGACTCTAATATCTAAACTTGTTTCGTAAAGTTCTTTAGCTATTTGATACAGTTGACCTAAGAACACGTAAAAAAATACTTTTCCAAAAGTTTACAAGAGTACAAATTATTTAACTTAATAATCGAATAATTTTTATTATTTTTTCAGAACTATTATTATTCACTATTTTTTTTAGTACCTCTTTAGTAAAGAATTGCAATGTAATTTTATGACACTTAAAATAACATTTTTTTTGTTTATAAACTGTTAAAATATAAATACTATATTCAGCAAGTGAGTCAAAATATTATTTCTGTATCGAAATGCAAAAGAAAATTACAATTGTAAAATTCTCACCCATAAAGTAATGCGTAAACCCCTGTCTTGTGCTTCGATAAACTAAAATCACTCCATGAGGATCCACATGAGTTATATACATAGAGGGAGATTTCATTTTCGGATATGTAAATCGCATTTGCATGTGAATGTTGTCGACACTTCCCAAAAAATCACAAAAATAACGTCCAGTTGCTTTTATTGTGCAGTCGTATCTAATAAAATTGGAATAAGCGAATAAAATTTAATTATTAAAATTATTTATTTGCAATTAAAAAATAATCTTTCGCACTTCAATTATGCTTTAGATTTATAAATAGACAGAATTATATAAATTATTATATGTTTTCATTTGGATTGTTTTATCTTTCATTTTTTTATCCCGAGTGAAATTAAACAGCAACTGTTTCTATGCCAGTATTCCAATTTTTTCAAAAGCTCATTTTAAAGCATCAAGCTTTTTTTCTCTCTCTTGAGACAATGAAATTCTCGTAAGTTTAGTATTCCTCTTTACTTCTACAGGCTCGTGTTTCAAGGGACGCTTTAGGGTATGAGGTAAATAGAATGGAGAATATTCAGTTAAAGTTGCCTTCAAAGTGGATTACAACAATTTCGATTCAATTGTTTTTTGTGATGAATTTTCTTTAAAAATTATTTTTCCCTTTTCTCATTTTGATTTGTTTGTGTTTTCATTTTTTGTAACAATTCTTTATGAGAATTGTTTTTAAAAACGTTTCAGTCATTCATCATTATAATTTTTTAATTAAAATAATGACATAGGTATATTTAATTTCTTTGTTAGTTTTTAAGAAAGTGATATTAACTATATTTCCTTACCCAAGATTACTGAAAAATCGAACGAAACATTTTCCGAAAAATTCCATGACACTATTGATACTCTCTCCAATGTGATCTGCGAGGGCAGCAGCCAATTTTGTCATTAAATCGTCGGGATAGATTTGTCGTGTGTTGAATACTGTGTGCTTCACTCCCGCTTTTTCTAACATTTGCAGCCATAACTCCTCTCCGTATTCCAGCTGAAAAACGTATTTCATCAATGTGACAAGAATTATCAAACGAAAATCTAACTTTTATTTTATTTACTTTTTTGTAGTTGTACTTATTTTTATTTATAGGTAATAAAAAAAATTGGCAAATTGCTCCTATGGTAAGACTCTTTTTAAAAAATTAGGTCTCCACATTGAATCCGCCATTTTGAATTTTAAAAAACTGACCTCAAATTCGAATTCAGCGATCTCAAAAACCTTACATATGATGAAATAATATTTTTTGTAAACTTTTTTTCGGACTGTTTTTGGACCACAAGCATGAACACAAGCAATTTTTAACTGGACTGCGAAGAGGTTAATACCATCATTCATTACATTTTTTAATAGTTTATAAATTCGATTTTAGTTTGTAGGTAATGATGAATAAATAATGAATAGCTTTTTAGAATACATTTAATTAGAAATAAAAATAATTATTTTTGGAAGATAATTTTTGGTAACGACATTATCTACAAAATGTATCAAATAAAAATCACATAAATGAAGAAAATAATGGATATTCCCCTCATCAAGATAGGCTTTCAGCGTTATAATGAAATTACTCTTCGCCCCTGTGCTGATACTGCATGAAGTAAGGTACTTAAAATTAAATTATTCAGAGAGGAGTGTGTAAATTAATGAAACTCTTGAAAGAGAATGGCAGGTTACTTTTATTTAAAAGTGACTAACAAAAAGAAATATTGTCTTTTCCCTTTCAAAGACTTCTATATTCGGTTTAATTTGATTAACGAATTTTTAAACTAATTAAAATTAATATTATTTCAATTTATTATGTTCTCTATTCTTCATTAAATATGTACTGTACGAAGAAATAGTTCTAAAAATCTATATAAGGAGAAGTGTATATAAATATATATAAGGAATTGAATTCTTTTTCTCTGATCCAGATTACTCACAATATTTACTAAAGCCAAAATGGATTTCAAATTCAAACGGTAAACAAATAGAAAAATGTATAGGTATATATAAGAGTTACTGTAGTCATGTTTGTAAAAAGGGACTATATTTTTGTCCATGATTTCTTTCTTAGTAAAATTTTATTATCTCTAATTTTAAACATATGTTTGTACATTATTTTGATGTCCAATAAAGACATGCACGGTGTTATGGAAATATTTTTACTCTTGTTTTTCCTTTTAAAAAGAATTGAAGATAATTAAACAAATAGATACCTACACTGTTAGAAAAATCTGTTTTAAATGCAATAGAATTATATTTGGTTTCCCAATTTGAAAAAGAGTTCATGTGGTTAATTATTACCGATGTCTCGAATTTTAATTGTATATATGTAGTGTTAAATAAATTTTGAAAACTTTTTTAATATTTTGCTCAAGTAAACCACAAAACTGGGGTAAAGCATTTTTCTCCCCAGAATTGACCAGCAGCTTGTTGGTGGAAGAGATTTTAAACTTCTGGAGAAGAAAAAGTCATTGAATGGATCATCTTATTTCGAACAAATGGTAGCTAGATAAAATGGGTTTCGACCTGAGTATTTTTTTGGAGTCAGGCCAACTTTAGGTACGAATGCTGTTGAGTAAACTCGTTAAAGCGCAAACACATTTTATAATATCTGTTATGGGCTAACAGTTAGTTTAATATGAAGTCAATTCTTCTCTTTAATATAGACTAAAGCTGCAAGTATAATTCTTCGGGTAAATCGCCCAGTGTTTTAAATCGTCAAGCACTTAATGTTAAAATTCATAGCTAGTTCAATGATTCAGGAGGGCAACAACGCATTAGTGTTCAGTAAGGATGTAATTATTTGACTTGATCCACTTTATCGGATTACCTCAGATCTACGTCACAGCATTGCTACATATTCGTAGCTTCTTACTGCATAGGGTAGATTACGGAGTTCAATCCTAGTTCTGAAACTGCCACTAGCGTTTGAGTACTGGTCTTTAGATTTATTTCCTATTGACATAGACACCAAGGAGATCAACGAAGATCGCTAACGTTCTGAGCAAACTTTATAGGCAAATAAAGTCAGGCATCAGTTAAACAACAAATCTTTAAAGGATTAAGGCACTCCATTTCAGAAGTGAAATTTATTATTGCCTTTTACATTGTAATGGGTTTTATTTAATATTCCAAATATTTTCTAATAACTGAATTTAAGCCAAAGTCTTAAAACCAATACAATTAAAAGAATACGTTTATTATTTTTCAATCTGGAATAATCAGAACGATTTTGATGAACGCCAGTCTGTTCTTGAGACAATTTCTAATTTTTAAAAATTGGAATTAAAAAAAAGGGACAAGTACAATTTTCAGCAAGTTAACATAGAAAGTTGGTGGCAAATTTTTCATATAGAGAAAATTTGTTACCTTCGAAAAGCATGGAGCAAACTTGTGTCAAAATATGCTATGTCGGTTATTGGAATTATTGACCTACTTATCATTGATTTAAATTAAAGGACTATGTTAATTAATTCTACAAAGTATCGAATTTTACAGATAACTATGCACCTTTATATACTCACAAAATTCCTGCTTAATCCATTCATTTCTTTTTGAGAAAATTCCTCAACAAATTAACATTGGGGCAATCACATGACCTAAAAGTCACAAATGTGGGAGCCAATATTGTTGCAAGGGTCCCCTACGGGTGGTCTATTATTTGTTCTTATATTAGTGAACCCTCGCCATAAAAGCCTCAGGTTACATAAATTTTTGTATTTAAGAACCATTGTTATTTCTCTTATTGAATAAAATAATGTTTAGATATTATTTGTACTTATCGATTTTTTTTCATAATTTAGAAAAGGAATAAAAATAATTCTACCTTTTAAATATATTTATAAAGATATGCCAAACTAAACTTTTTACCAAGTTTTGTCAACAATAAGGTTGTAACATTTTAAAATATAATGAGGTTACATAAAATATTCTCTTACAGAGTAAGTCTAAATTAGGTAGGTACTATATTAAGTCGGACAAAAATTGAAATTATTCGGACTGTCTTGAAACTTGTTGCTTAAGGGTTTTAGGGATAGCTGATTACGAATCTGATATTAGTTTTTAAAAATTCAAAATGGCGGATCCAATATGGCGGACGAAAAAAATTAAAAATTACTCGGACTGTCTTGAAACTTGTTACTCGGAGGTTTTTAGGGTCGCTGATTACGAATCTGATATTAGTTTTTAAAATTCAAAATGGCGGTCGAAAAAAATTAAAAATTACTCAAACTATCTTCAAACTTGTTACTCGTGGATTTTTAGGGTCGCTGATATTAGTTTTTAAAAATTCAAAATGGCGGATCCAATATGGCGGACGAAAAAAATTAAAAATTACTCGGACTGTCTTGAAACTTGTTACTCGGGGGGTTTTTAGGGTCGCTGATTACGAATCTGATATTAGTTTTTAAAATTCAAAATGGCGGATCCAATAGGGGCCATTCAAGTATTACGTAAGCATATTTTTCAGGTTTTTAGACCCCCCCCTCCCCCATCGTAAGATTTTTTATATGCATTAGCGCCATTTTTTCTAATGGAAATAAGCAATAGCTAGACCCCCCCTCCCCCTTTAATGCTTACGTAATACTTGAATGGTCCCATATGGCGAACGAAAAAAATTAAAAATTACTCAAACTATCTTCAAACTTGTTACTCGTGAATTTTTAAGGTCGCTGATTACGAATCCAACGTCAATACTTAAAAATTCTAAATATCTGATCCAATATAAAGGACAAAAAAAATTTAAGAAATAGTTTTAAGCTATTGAAAATGACTACCAATGTTGTTTTGAGGTTACTGATTGAAAGTCGATTTATTAGAAAATGGTTAGACAGGACGTTTTTAATTTCCGGACATGTCGTAAAATTATACTCTATTTTATTTCCAATGCAGAGTTGTCATGAAAAATAATACAAGTTATCTTTATAACTGAGCTTTTCAATATTTTCATCCACCATATTGATAGATATATATTAAATTGAATAACTTAATTCAATTATATTTTTCTTCTAGTACTTTTTTCTTTTCGAAAACGTTTTTCATTAAAATATATACAATTGAAACATTTCTTTCTTCGCTTATAAATAAAATAAAAAATAAGTGTATTTTAGATTGTTTTATAATTGAAATTTAAATCGGAAGTTGGATTATAGATTATTATTTTAGAGAATATTGGAATGTGGTTTTTCTAAAGAATTCAGCTTTCATTTGTGAATCGAATATTGATCTGCGGTACATTTAGTTTTAAAAGCGTTGCAAAAAAAATTTTTATTCGAAAATGGGAATTTAGACAATTTTTTGTTTATTGTAATTGCATATTGGCTCAGTTAAAATAGTCCAAATCTCATTTCATTTTATAATGCAAACGTTAATATGTATCAGCTTTTCAAGTTTCTAAGATTTTTTTTACTTTTTTAATTTACATGAAATCAACATTAGTATAGATTCGAAATTGGAAATAATTCTGATAATTGTACAAAAGAATTAAATTCTTCTCACAGATAAACTAAATTGTTCATTTATATTTTTGTCGAAAAAATCTGATTCATATTTCACTCGAATTTTTTTTTCCCGTACGCCTTCAATTTATGCGATAAATTTTATAGAATTCTTTTATGGACATTCTTGTGGATTTTCTTGTCATTTAAATCCTTTTGAATTTAATAGGCTATTGGTAAATACATAAAATAAATGATCTGAACAGAATTATTCTACTTCCTTGCATCTTTTTTGATAAAAATTCCCACTGTACCGTCAGATAATATTCTGCAGGGATATATATTCGGTTATGTTCCTCAGGCTATATGTGTCTGTGTATATATGACGGATTAGACAGGGGAATTCCATTTTCGGTTCTACGCTTTTTAAGAGCATCACAGTTATTTCCGGCAACATTCTTCAAATTTTCAGGGAAATAAACCTTTTCAAAAAAAAAAAATATTAGTCACGAGAGAAAGTCATCATAAAAGTGACAAATAAAATAAAATATCTTTCCATTTTATATATAAATA